ATATATAAAGGGGAGGATGAACACACTTGGGTTCATGCACTTTGGTACTTTATTTATTTATTTTGTTATAAAAAATGAAAGAGAGAGAAAGAGGCCGGTGATGTGATGAGAGAGAGATCAGCTTCCGTCAGGGCAAACCCGTGCCCACACCGTTTACAACCTTGAGTAGGAGTGGGGAAAGGACAGGTGGCGGTAGGGGTTCTACAGACAACAGATACTTGTTATTAGTTTATAGTAATAAAGGTTAAACGAGGGTGGGCTTTTCTCTTTTTTTTTTTCTGTTTATTCGATTGTTTGTTATGTTTGTTTGATTGGGCGTGTGTGCAGCCTAATCAATGTGAGCATTCATTTACAAAGGCCTAGGAATCCTCTAGGCGGCCTTTCGCAACGAATCTAATAGTTTTGTTGTGCTTGGATATGTATCAACCTTGATATTCACAGGTCACAGCCAGTCCAGATAGATAAGATACGGGAGAGGAGGGAGACAACTAGACAAGCCCCAATCCAGGGTCCTGGGTCCCCACCCTGGTTATTTGCTAATCCAACCTGGTTACAGATACGGTTTGTCCTCCTAAGCTAAAAGCCAAAGAAATTAGCAGCACTACCGTCTGTATACAGTACATCGCACAGCTTGGAATGCCCAGGGGGGTGGCGAGGGCACGTGGAGAGCATGCTGTGGATTGGATGTTAGATTCAATGGATCCCTCTGGATTGTCGTGTCTTTGATATATAATAAGATATGGCTGTCAATGATTGGAAATGCTTGTACAATTGGATGGCTAAGATCATGCATCTTTTTTATATTCTATTGATATTTCCAATTTAACATAACAAATGGAGAGGCCTAAGGTGATGGATGCATCCATGTAATCTACATGCAACGTGTCACGAGGATCAGCTGCTTTCACAACATCAACAAATTTGAATTTGAATGCAGTGGATGGAAGGTGAGTAGGTGAGGAGCACCGAATTGGATGGATGGCCATCGCCATACGCATAATATGTACAATTGGAATTATTTGTATACACAACCTATGCGTAGAGCAGGCATCAGGCATTAAGGCATAGGCCTTAAGCCTTATCATCACCGAGTGATGGATGATTCGGCAGACTCGCTTTTGTTTATAAGGAACACAAGGAGGTTACCGTGTCGGGGAATCTTCTATAGAAAATACGCGTCCTATCGGGAGAAATTAAAAGACATTTAAAATGGGCGTCAGACTTCAAATCCCAAGAAAAAAAGTCGGCCAAAGGAATTAAAAACACAAAATAAATAAAAGAAAAATACTCTGTAGCTCAGCTCCTTTCTATAAATCGCATTCTACTTACAAATTTAGCATTAATACAGGTCAGGATTTATACCTTTTTACAATAAAATTAAGGCTTAGTTTGGAAGGAATACAAATGTAAATTTATAAAGTATAAAACTTTATATTTTTTATTATTTTGTATATATTTATATTTGTATTCTTTATAAATTAATACAATTACAAATATATATAATATAAATACATACAGAATAATAAAAAATATAAGATTTTATATTCTATATATTTGTATTTATATATATATATATATATATATATACTCAAAGAGAATACAGATATAAACATATATTATATAAATACATATAAAATACAAAGTTTTATACTCTACTTATTTATATTTATACTTTTTTAAAACATAAAAAATTAAAAGTGAGGGAAAGTAAAATGTATCGCAAGAAATTAACTAGTTACGGCGGAGTGAGGGGACATGAATGTTAACTGGGTTATGTTGAAAGTGAGGGGAAGAGGTCGGCTGTCCAAGTGAGTGATTTGTCGGTGTCTGCTAACCATTAAACATACCTTAATACGCGAGCGAAAGGCCCAGTTTTCGGTGAACATTGACTATGAATGCATTTACCAATGTTAGAGTTAGAGTTGGGGAATGGGTAATTGGGGATCATGGTTTAATAAATTAAATTGTCAAAATGCGAAAGACGCCAACTGCGTCTCAATTAGGAATAGTAATTTCTACTCTATTGATGGTTATCCTTTTTTTATTCATCCCAATGGGATATATGTTTTTTGTTTGAAGAATGAATTTTGGGATTTTACAACCATATAGATATTGATAAGGTATGTTTTTGTTTGTTTGTGTTATTTTACTTATTTATTGTTTATATATAACAAGAAATAATAGAAAATTAGATGCGAGTTCTAAACCAAATCCATCCTATCCTTGAATGTAGAGAAGGTAGGATTAGGGACAGTTTTGCATTTTCATGTGCAAGGAGCTAGGGAAGGTTTGGATTCTCAAAATACAACCTGTTTAGGGTTGGGTGTTTATAAAGAATCTCATAGGGTCTAAAATTTACAAAAACTTCCCTGGATCTGTCCCTTCATCATCCCTACTAGCAACAAGGATAAGGTGTTTGCCTAGTTGTGGGCATGTAGCAAAGGCTTGGAACCGATTCTTGCCTTCACGCCATTGAAGGCTTTCAGGGTATGGACTATGGAGATAGGCTAACCTCAGTTGCGTAAGTAGCACCTTGTGGATAGCAAATCCGAATTGTGTTGTATGATCTATGAAGCCCAAAAAAATAGAAAAACAGTTTTCTCTTCTTTTTTTTAATTAATGGAAGGGGCTACACAAGACGGGGGACCACGTCCCCTACAATACAAATCAGATAAATAGATATAGGCTAAGGTAAATCAACAAAAAGTAATTTTGAAAGATTAAACTGAATCAATGAATCAGCCACTTGATTTGCTTTCAGATATACATAGTGTTAATACGTTACACGAGATGAATAGTTTCAAATTGGTGAATCCTTGAAGTTGATTGCAAGGTTATGATCCTCCTAGGCAGCCCTCCTAAGCCTCAGTCGAATTAATTAATAGTAGTGGCACCAACAATGTCAAGGACAATAATATTACGTAAGTGGTCTCTTGCAATGCTAGCAACTGAACAATTGCCACTACTATTGCAAGAGGCATAAAAGTTAATAGGTTTGATAAAGCCTGATTTAGGGCTTCTCGACATGGTGGGTCTCCACAATTTGACCTGATGGTAGCGTGAGATTATAAGAAAATTCAAAATTTTACATAAAAGGATTTAAAGCCAGGGAAAAAGTGTTTATGGAAAACCACTTGGTTTCTATTTTTCCACATTGATCATATAATAAAGGCATATTAATTTTGTTTTGAGAATTCAAAATTCCGAACACAAGCTGCAAAAAGCATCAATATTAAAACCTCTTCTTCTCTTCTTCTTAGATTGCATTTAGATGAACCATTATTATTAAAGAATGGGTATTATTATGAAAACTTTAATTTTGGGGGGCACTTGAGATTTCAAACCATTTGAATATCAAATAGATGGTGTATCATCAACCTATGTGGCATTACACCTGGCCATATTTGATGGAGAAATTACCAATTCAACTGAATCTCCAAATCGTCCTAGCTATCATCACATTCACAGTTAAAATGTGACTAATTTTGGAGAGAATAATATTATTACCACAATGCCACTTAATGAACAATAGAATTGATCACCGTCCGCGGCCTAATACGAGCATAGGATTTACAGTTTGTTCACTGTTAAATTCCAATCCAATCCAATCAAAATATCAAATGCATTTCTCCCTCTTCTACCCATGTCATGGCAGTCCTGGTTTAGTAGCTAGCTACGACCACTCACATGGCTAACAGGATGCCTCTTTTGGTTAGAGGGTAGAAAAAAAAAATAGAAATACATGAACATGGATCTAGTCTAACGTACTAGTTTAAGTCCCTTGTCTTCAATTAATTTAAAGCTAAGAATAAATAAAAATGAGATCTATGTATCTTCTGCAAAGCTTATAGGCATTAGATACTAGCAGTTAGATTAGATGTATACAGTCGGAATGTTGCCATAATGCACATGTCGCCACTGATGATAGGTTGAAGGAAAAAAAAAACTCTAGACAAGTCACTTCTTTTCAAGTTGTTAAGGTTTCTATTTAGAGAGTGTTTGGAACCATGGGCGTTTATTCAATAAACACTGTCATATATGTGCCCTTTCAGTAGTTTCCCTCTCATGCTCTTTCATATGCATTGAGAATAGCAAATGGTGAATTCGGTTTCTATGCAAATTTTCCCCATTGAATAGACATTTTTTCACTGTTATGCTTATGTGGTGCTTAGTGGCGCCATGTTGTCATAAACAGTTGCAATTATTACCTTTCTCGGTTTTGGAAGTAAATAAAATACAAACGTTGAATAAAAAAACATAAATGGAACCAAATACATACTTAATCATGGTGTGAGTCTAATCCATCTCTTTCTTTTAATTTTCTACCTTTGTTTTGTAGTAGATCATTGTACACACATCTCAGGACGATGGGAAGAAATGATTGTTTAGTCCATTTCTTGAGAAAATTTTGGCTAGCTAGCTATTGGGAAGCTTATTCCACATGACATATCAATCCATCCATTTCCTGCTTGGTTTTTGGACAATTACTCTTTTATCCCACACCCATGGTATGATAACGTGTCATGCTCAAGAACTTCCCCAACAGTCCTCTAATGGAAACTAAGGCTGTGTTTCTTTTAAAGAAAAAAAAAGTAGGAAAAGGTAAGGAAATCTTTACAAAACTTGTATAAGTTTTCCTACCTTTCCCTTCAATTGCAATGAGTAAATTAAACCCCTTGAAGAAAGAAATGGTACGTATACCTAGCTAATAACAAAACACATTCTTGGCCTTGGTCTTGAAGCACTTGGGTATAACTACTCTGAAGAGTAATAGGAAAAAGAATAAATGCAATAATTTGATCTTCTAAATGGTTTTGAGACACATTAATGTCCCTATCTCATAATTAGATGAGGAACTAAAATTTACACATGAAAGATGAATGGAAACTAAGTATTTGTTTGGTAATAGCTCCCTTTATTAAATAAACATTTGTACTTGATTTGTCTTCAAAACTAA